TTCTACCAATTTGCGTCATCCAGACCAAGACCAACAAAACTTGAGAGAAAAGCATAAGAGAATGATGTACAAGCCACACACACCCATGGAGCTCGGCGACGCCGTGCTGGGTCAGATCACCCTGGCGCTTGTGTTTGTGCTCGACCACATGATTCCCGCAGTGCACAAAATCGTCAGCTGGGATACAGACGACGTTGATCTGGGCCCGATCATCCCGGTATGAAGATCATCTAGTGAATCAATAACGCGGATGCGATATTCTAAGATGTTTTTATCCATGCAGGAATAGAGTGGCACTATTTGGCCGATCACAAGCAAGAGCATGATGCCCACGACGACCGAAAAGGCCTAGCTATTGAGTCGCTACTGCTGTTGCGCAGCAACCTTCAACTTCCTACCCCGATTGTGGCGAGCAGTGCAAACTAGTTATAACGGTTGCATACTCTTTTTTAAATTATGAACAGGAAACATGCTTCTTAAAGTATCCAATCACTAATATCGGTATTACTTCGTAATACGTACAGTACGGTATCACAGTACAGTTCGGCAGCATGTGCGTCAATTACACACATGGCTGTACTGACAAAGTTGTGCGGCTACAGAAGGCCAAACACTTGTATAAGCAACCAGAGTGTACGAAGCTTTTAACCAGGCCAAACGATTACTCATTCCGAGAGAGCGCCATCGCTGTAGTAATTCCGAATTCAGTTTTTTGGGCCCCGCAGAATCGCCTGAATTTTTCAATATCTGGAAACTCGGCATCAGGCATTTCCCACGAAAACGTTAGTAGTATGACATGGAACATTACGCCGGCAGTTTTTTTACTTTCCGTAATGGCAGGCGTTATTGTGACCGACTGAAAGGTACGAAGACGAGCCATTCGTGACCGACTGACCACCGAAGCCAGTGATTGTGCCCGACAAAGAAATTCACCCTTCTTGTATATGCTGTATAATCCGGATACGAGCACTTAGTGTTTTTAGAGCAAAGTCATCCTCAAGGCCGATGTTAGCCTCAAGGACGAATCCAACCTTTCTGTGATGTTTCCGACACAATGTGTTTTAACAGCAACTATATAATTCAAGTTAAACAAAGTGTATTGCTTCACATGCACATCTGCAAGTAGCGATAACGCTGGTACTGCAGTGCCTTCTTACTCAATTCACCTGTGCTTTCTCCGCTACAGAACGTTTCGAATGCAAGCAGAACGTACACCCCACAGTTGTAGCTGTCTAGTTGGACTCCAGCATCCGCAACATAGGGAACCACTCTGTAACGTCCTGGTGTAGCCGGCATGTGTTGCACAAGTTTGTGCGCTAGTACTCTAAGGGTACCAGTGTAGCTGCTGCTCATGGAATCATAGTACTTGATAGTTGTCTCAGCTGTGTTGATCATGATACCGCACCAGTGCGTGCCGTTACAGTTCACTGGAAGCAGTATAATTCGCCCAGTAATACAACTGAACAAGTGCTTTAACTCTTCGTCTGGAATGCTCACATTTCCTCTCTCCACAATACCCCATATCGCTGGGTCAACAGTCATGACTTCCTCTTGTTGACCAAATAGCTTTGCCATTGCCTCTGCCAACGCAGTGTCACTAAGTAGTGATCTGCATGCAAAGTCAACGATCCGAATCTGGAAAATATGCATACACAGTGTCAGTTGCTGCTATCCTTAGAATGTGCAAAGTGCTTACCCTTTCAGAGAAAACCGGAATTGCTTCTAGTTTTGACGCCAATTCTGCATCTGGTTCGGCCCGAAATACAGGCGAAATATCCAGCGAGAAATCAATTTCTGAGATCCATTTTACGGCTCTCTCGATATTGTTTAGCTCTTTGACTGCTTGGTGCCATAGCTTCATGGTTCTCAGTGTCTGCATCCCGATTACAAATAGACCAGGAAAATCAACTGCAAAGTCTAGCTCTGGCAATTCCTTGTGCTTCTTTTGTAGGGTAACTAACGTTTTGCTCGCTCGCTGGAGTATCTCTTTGGCCAAAATACGAGAAATGTCGATTGGATCCATGATAACTTTGCTAGCCGGCATCTTCGAAATAACGTAGGGCATTGGGGGCTTCATCTTCTTATCAAAAACAAATAGCTGGAATCGGCGGTAGCGGCTCAGCAACTGATGCGTAGGTAGGTTCATTTGAAAGGAGAACCTGGACTGTTTTGAGGCTCATACCTTGGTCGTGAAGTATCGAATCATCTTGTGCCATTAGGATAGATACATTCCTCTTCGCTTTCTTAGTCTTTGCCTTCTGCTTCGGGCGGCCTCGCGGGCGTAAGGGACTTGCTATCTCGAATCCAGGTGATTCCGCATTAATTGGTTCGGATTCAAGAACTTGAGTCAATTGCATCACCGAATGATCCACCAAGTGATCCACCGATTGAGGCACCGACTCCACCGACTGCGACACCGACTCCACCGCCTCTACCGCGTGATCAACCGCCTCCACCGACTGGAACACCGCCTCCAACATCGGGGACACCGCCTCCACCGAGTGGTCAACCGCCTCCACCGAGTGGTCAGCCGCCTCCACCGACTGAGCCACCGACTCTACAGACTCCACCGACCGAGACACCGACTCCACCGACGCTACCGACTGACCCACTGACTGAGGAACTGGACCCATAGACGACAGCTCCTTGATCAGCTCAAACTTTTTTTCAGTAAACATCGTTGATACTTGCGCTAACGCCTGAATTGCCACCCGATATTCCGCCATTCCCACCGTGCTTACAGCTTCCGTTATGGCGGTAGCAAAGCTATTAGCTTGGCGAAATTTGCGGTTAGAGTCCCACGGAAGCTGTGGAAGCGATGCAATCCGAGTCACAGAACAGCCGTTCCTTTCGGTCTCCAACGGAGGACGCGTGTCATTCATCGAAGACAACAACCAACGAGGATGAAAACACTGAGTCGGAATATTTGTCTCCAATTTCAGTTGCTGACGCACGTAGAAAACATGCCTGCATGGCAATAGCCGCGTACTTGCAAATATACACGAACACTCCCAGGTTGACTTAGTAATTGTGTACTCTGCTCGTGGCCCGTCCAGACTTCCTTCTGCATCTTTCTCATTCTTGATAAAGATCATTCCAGGCATTGCCTCGTAAAAGGAATAGGAAGCCGGACCAGTTGCGTACACGTACTGCTCATGAATTAATTCGCATACATGCTTGCTAACCAAGTTAGCCACGACATTCATCTCATTATCGTATTCTTCGTGATGGACGTGATAAATCTTGGTTGCACGGTTGTACAGAAGCTGTTCAGATCGAGTCTGATAGAAAATAATTGAAGCCAAACACTCATCTAAGACCATTGAAGAATTTACAATCTCCTTCATGTGCTTCCAGGACACCTCAAGTCTGTTATTGGTGTTGTTGCCCAACGTCACCGCACTTTGTCTCGTGAATGAACACCACATGTCCCTGC